CGGGGAGCCCCCCCCCAGCACACCAGGAAAACAGGAGCAAAGCCGCAGAGGCGGGGGACCCCGCCGCCTGTGCAGCTTTGCTCCGGGGCAAAGGAGCAAAGCCGCACGGGCAGCGGGGTCCGCCGCCTGTGCGGCTTTGCTCGGGTCTCCCTGCTGTGCTGGGGAGTCCCCCCCAGCACACCAGGGAGACCTGGAGCAGCTTTTTTCGCCCCGGAGGACGCGGTGGCGGGACCGCTGTGCTCTGGGCAGTCCCGCCGCCCGTGAGCTCCGAGGCGAGAAAAGCCCCGTTCGTAAGTGCGGATCTGACATAAGTCGGATCCGCGTAAGTCGGGGACTGCCTGTAGTACAACCATGCTGCCAGAAAAGTGCTTCTGTTGATATACATTGTTTCTCCACAAGGGGGCTCTGCCCACCTAGCTAGTCCAGCGATGGCTCTGTCCTATTGACAAGTGGTTCTCAAGCTTTTCAGACTACTGTACCCTTTTCAGGAGGCTGGTTTACCTTCTGTATCCCCACATTGCACCTCTCTTAAAAAGCTACTTGCTTACAAAATCAGACTTTAAGATTAAAGAAAAAGTGCCACAGCACACTGACGAAGTGCTTACTTTTTTACTCTGACTATATTTGAGAGTTTGTGAGCAAGTTTGATAATTAGTTTGTTCAAGAATTCATCCTAAATGGTAAGAGCTAAGAACACCAAATTTGGTAGGCAGCTTCCTCTTATCATTCCTTAAAGAAGGTTAGGATTTGGTTGGGGTGAGAGTGAAGCTCCAATCTCTCCCTTCAATTTGTATGGGCATGCATAAAACCATACAGAAAGGAGATAGAATCATCAGGCAAGTGAGAAGGATTGGCTGGGGGGCACACACCCCATACAAGATTGCCTCATGCATGATCCCCTCCTCCCGTCCCTCCCAGGCAACTTTTAGGGATGGGGAGACTGCAGCTTCCCATTTGTACAGGAACATTGCTGGCTGTTCCTTTTAATCACAGAGCGAAGGGAAAGTGCACAGTTTCCTGCATTCCTCACTCTGGCTTGGGAAGGCAGGGGGCAGACAAACTAGGACTTGCCCCAGCTGGGGGACATGCACCCCTCCCCCCACTGTGCTTGCTGGAGCTGCAGTGGCCAAGGAGATGTGCTTCTCACCTGGCCCCAATCTGCTGCATTGAGAGAGGGATGGGGTTGTCCCCTGGAGCAGCCTGTGTATTGAACCGGGCATCCCCAGCCCCTCGCCAGAGCAATTATTTAAATTACGAAAAAACAAACTTATAAGTTAAGGACCCAACCAACCCCGGGAAAATCCTCTAGTAGAATTATAAAACAAATCCCAGCTCCCAGCTTGAGAAACACTGGTGTAGACAAGGGCTGAAAAGTGGTGTCACCTAACTAGTTTTCTTTCAACTGCTGCATTTACAGAGGGGAGTTACTAAACATTTTGCTCCCCCCACAATATTTGGTTAGCCATAGATGACCATGCTCTCACCAGCAGGAAATAAGTGCTTCTCAACACCTCTCCACACACACAGCCAAAAAGCATGGCCGACCACGTACAAACACTGACAACGCAAAGATGGGCAGACATTTCAACATCTCTACTCATCAGATTACCTACCAAATACTACCCAAAAGGCAGATTAAGCAAATCACTTCCAACAAGTCATCACTTTGGCAAATGCCCCCAAATACATCCAGCAATCTAGATCTTACAGCATTCTTCAACACAAGGGAGGTGGGTGCTGGCATTGATGCTCTGAAAACAGGAGGCAGCAGGCCTAGATATCCGAACAAAACAGATCAACAATGCTGGCCCCGTACACATGGAAGTGGCCCCTGAGTATGTTCAATACCTGTCTCATACAGCTCAAGATACAAACAAATGTGGTGATAAACTAAGCTAGCGGCCATTTTATAGCCTGGTATGAAACCATCCAAACCAAAAATATTTCAGCCTAGCTCACTCCTGTGTGATATTTCAAAGTT